CAGAGTGCTGACCCCTACTGGGAGGCCACTTAGCCTCTCTGGAGGTGACCAGCTGGCATGGACACAGGACTGCATCCTGGCCTTCCCTCCTGACCGTCTGGGGCCTGAGCCAGCCTGGAAAGACTCAGCACTCCCAGCCCTCCCCTAAGACCCTGGGGCTGGGGGGTTGGGGGGGGCAGGGCAGGGGTGGGGACCTGTGGCTGATTCCCTGCACCTGGGCCTCCGGGGTCCAACAGTCACATTTTCTCTTAAGTCTTGCCATTACTCTTCTGATGCTGCTGCCTGGCCTCGGTTTCCCCCTTTGCGTAGGAGAGAGGGGAAGAGAACTAAGGATGTGTGTGTGTGCTGAGCACCTGTTTTGTGTTGGGTACTGATGGGGTGGACCTCCCCCTTTTCTCTTCCATCCTACCAGCACTGGGGCCTCAGTGCAGAGCAGGCGCTTGCAAGACGTCTCTAAGCCTGCAACAAAGCTCAGGAGAAGGGCCAGTCCCATGAGCCACACTTCTGTGGAGCCCTAGGCTTTGGTGAAGGGGCTTTCGGGTGAGGTAGATTTGGGGGGGGAGGGGTTGGGGTTATGGGGGGGAGGGGGAGCCCACAAAGCCTTGCTATAGGCAGGCTTTCTCTACTCTAGATTTGGAAAAACTGGCTGTTTTTGTAGCTGAAAGAAAAAAAGATTTCTCCAGGTTCCCAAATGAGAATTTTATGACATAAATTCTGAGGCCCAGAGAACAGCAACCTGTTCAAGGCCGCAAAGGGAGCCGGCAGCTGATAGTAACACCTGCATTGACTGAGGACTTATCGCATGCCAGGCATGTGACACTCACCTGATCTCCTTCCCTGGAACTCTCCTTCCAGGAGGGACACTTACTCTACCCAGGTGATAGATGAGGAAATTGAGGCCAAGGGATCACCGAGTTAGTAAACAACAGAGCAGGGATTTGAGCTCGGCTGCTGCAGGGATTTTGCAGGCTGCTGCACAGGACCACACTCTGCAAAGCTGCTTTGCTGGCTGGAAGGCTGGGTTCCCGCCACTGCAGCTGAACCTACCTGTGGAGGCGGGAGTGGGAAGGCTGGAGCTGGCGCATGTCTGCTGCCTCCGGGGCTGGGTCTCCAGGATGAGGGGTGCTCCCCTGAAGACTGGGAGAAATGGAGGGATGAGCTCCTTTGTGTGGAACTGTGTGAGCCTGGAGGAGGCATGACACAGCCTTCAGGGACCTTATCTGCAAAATGGGCCCAATCGTAAAGGTCTGGCCACATGAAGACTCTGGAAGGTTCTAATTAATAACGACTAGTCATGGAGATGCTTGGAAAGCTGTGTGAGCGCTAGTGGGGGGTGAGTGTGATGCTGCCACCTTTAAACTTATTTGGAACAGGGCCCTCCCTGGTGGCGCAACTGGTAAGGACGCAGCACTGCAAGCTGGCCACAGCCGCTTCACTGGAGTTTGAGTTCCATCCGGATCCCCATTCAATCCCTGGCCAGGGACCTGATCCACATGGCGCAGCAGACCTCCCCTGACCACCGCTGCTCCCCTCAGCAGTGTACTTCCTTGATCTGCCTGTTCTGCTCCCCACTCTGTCTCTGGTGAATCCTCTCACAGCCCCTGCACCTCTAGACTGTACCCCAGCTCTGTATGCATACATAAACAAATTTTTAAAAAAGATTTATTTATGCACACAGAACTGGGGTACAAAGCCAGAGGTGCAGGCTGTGGGGCGAGACTTCACCAGAGACAGAGTGAGGAGCAGAACAGGCAGATCGACGAAGTACACTGCTGAGGGGAGCAGCGGGCGGGTCAGGAGAGGTCTGCCGCGCCATGTGGTCACCTCCAGGGCGGCAGGCGGGGATTGAGCTCATGTGGAAGTGGCTTCAGCTTCTCATTGCTGTGCTTTAACCTACTGCGCCACCAGGGAGGGCCCAAATAAACAAATCTTTAAAGAAATAAACTTAATTGGAACAGGGCTAGGTAAACATAAGAACAGAGGGGCTGTGAAGCCCAGCTTCCTCCCTTACTCTCACTCCTGTGGGGGTCCCTCCATCCTTTCTGTACCTCTGCTTTCCTTTCTGCACAGGAGGTAGCTTAGAACCCCACAGGTAGGAAGCAATCAGGGGGTTCAGCCCTGCAAGCTGGCCCTGCCACAGGGTGTCCCCTGGACTCACAGCTGGGGAGAGTGGTGTCTCCTGGCTCTGTGACTGGCCTGTGACCTTGGCACATCGCTTATCCCTTTCGGCTGCATCAGTTCAACAGGGATGCAACGTCTCCTTTCTACCTCAAAATCTATTTATTTTGAGAAGCAAGGTCAAGAATAGTTGTGAAAATCCTTTGGGGGAAAATAGAAAGCTGGATACAAAAGCTTCTTGTAATTTTGTCATTCTGCTTGTTATGCTTTTATTTCTCTCCCAGCACTTGGCCTGGTGCTAACCTCAAAGCAAACATTCAGGAAGTGAAGCCTGAATGATTGGAGACAGGCGGCAGGACTGTGAGGACAGCCTGAGGCCGCTGCTCCTGCCCTGGTGCCAGCCCGCCATCCTCACCCTGTGACAGTTTCCCCACGTGTCAAGGGAGGGTGGGGGCTGGGGCTGCATCAACGCCGGGAACCTCCCAGTTCTGCCAGCTCTGAAGTGGGCATGAATGAAGGGTCATTGTTCTTCCTCACTCACTGGGTCACTTCTCGGACGTTTAGGACACAACTGCTCACAGCCAGGCTCTGGGAACACCGTTTCATTCTGTCCCTAGCACCCGGGTCTGGCGCACAGGCAGCAGGCCACATACCCCCATTTTACAAGAGATCATGGGCCTGCAGAGGCCACCATGCCCCACCTGAAGTCACATAGCGAGGAAATGACAAGACTGGGTACGAACCCAGGCCAAGTCCAAAGTTCACCCCATTCCATCTGCCACGGGGCCTGCTGTTTGTGAGAAACTGCTTTCCTCTCATCACCCCCAAGGTGGTCCAGCGGCCAGGAAACTTCTTACCGTTTGGAGAGGTGGCCTGGCAGCTTCTCTCCCAGATGTTGTCACTAAAGGCCCAACCAACCCACCCAAAACCAAGTCCCTTTCCCTCCAGCCACCTCCACCCCCAGAGTTCTAGATATAGGGGAGGGGGGCTTGAATCTGAGGGTGTGACTTCTGTTGACAGAACCCCCCCCTTGCAGGGCCACCCCCCTTTGCAGGGCCCCTGTTGAGCCAGCTGAGACCTTGCCAGGGGACCTCTCAGGTTACTTGACCTTGGGACAGTCACGCTTCTGTGCTCAGGTTAGCTCTGCAGAGGGAAGCTGGTGGGCAGCGGGGGCAGGTGCTGTAGCTTCTGGACTAGGAGAGTGGACGCTCCTTTACCACCCTGCCCCTTTGGAGTTACCATCTGCCAAGGAGATGTGCCTTCCAGGCCTCCGGGGTGGCGCTACCCTCCCTCCCCATGGCCCCGCTCCTTGGCTCAGAAGCTAGCCTCTCCACGGGACTCCTGGCAGTTGCTGGAAGGGAGGTCCCAGAGGGCAGAGGGCTGCGGGCCCGGGGCATCCCCTGCGCGGCAACCCGCGCCGAGAGCTGGGCATCCCGGGCGAGCCCGCGTAATGAGGCGCTCCCCTCTCCTCTGGGAGGCGGGGCTGTCCCTTCTTTCCCCTCATCCGCCGCCACCAGAGGCCCCGCGGGA